CACCCAACAATGCAGGTTATCTGCTTGCCGTCCCGCGTCTGTGTTCACTTCAACAGTGACCATGTTTTATGGTTGTACAACACCCACGAGCCAATAACCACCCAACAATTCAGGTTATCTGCTTGCCGGCCCGCGTCTGTGTTCACTTCAACAGTGACCATGTTTTATGGTTGTACAACACCCACGAGCCAATAACCACCCAACAATTCAGGTTATCTGCTTGCCGGCCCGCGTCTGTGTTCACTTCAACAGTGACCATGTTTTATGGTTGTACAACACCCACGAGCCAATAACCACCCAACAATTCAGGTTATCTGCTTGCCGGCCCGCGTCTGTGTTCACTTCAACAGTGACCATGTTTTATGGTTGTACAACACCCACGAGCCAATAACCACCCAACAATTCAGGTTATCTGCTTGCCGGCCCGCGTCTGTGTTCACTTCAACAGTGACCATGTTTTATGGTTGTACAACACCCACGAGCCAATAACCACCCAACAATTCAGGTTATCTGCTTGCCGGCCCGCGTCTGTGTTCACTTCAACAGTGACCATGTTTTATGGTTGTACAACACCCACGAGCCAATAACCACCCAACAATGCAGGTTATCTGCTTGCCGGCCCGCGTCTGTGTTCACTTCAACAGTGACCATGTTTTATGGTTGTACAACACCCACGAGCCAATAACCACCCAACAATGCAGGTTATCTGCTTGCCGGCCCGCGTCTGTGTTCACTTCAACAGTGACCATGTTTTATGGTTGTACAACACCCACGAGCCAATAACCACCCAACAATGCAGGTTATCTGCTTGCCGGCCCGCGTCTGTGTTCACTTCAACAGTGACCATGTTTTATGGTTGTACAACACCCACGAGCCAATAACCACCCAACTATGCAGGTTATCTGCTTGCCGGCCCGCGTCTGTGTTCACTTCAACAGTGACCATGTTTTATGGTTGTACAACACCCACGAGCCAATAACCACCCAACTATGCAGGTTATCTGCTTGCCGGCCCGCGTCTGTGTTCACTTCAACAGTGACCATGTTTTATGGTTGTACAACACCCACGAGCCAATAACCACCCAACAATTCAGGTTATCTGCTTGCCGGCCCGCGTCTGTGTTCACTTCAACAGTGACCATGTTTTATGGTTGTACAACACCCACGAGCCAATAACCACCCAACAATGCAGGTTATCTGCTTGCCGGCCCGCGTCTGTGTTCACTTCAACAGTGACCATGTTTTATGGTTGTACAACACCCACGAGCCAATAACCACCCAACAATGCAGGTTATCTGCTTGCCGGCCCGCGTCTGTGTTCACTTCAACAGTGACCATGTTTTATGGTTGTACAACACCCACGAGCCAATAACCACCTAACAATGCAGGTTATCTGCTTGCCGGCCCGCGTCTGTGTTCACTTCAACAGTGACCATGTTTTATGGTTGTACAACACCCACGAGCCAATAACCACCCAACAATGCAGGTTATCTGCTTGCCGGCCCGCGTCTGTGTTCACTTCAACAGTGACCATGTTTTATGGTTGTACAACACCCACGAGCCAATAACCACCTAACAATGCAGGTTATCTGCTTGCCGGCCTTCGTCTGTGTTCACTTCAACAGTGACCATGTTTTATGGTTGTACAACACCCACGAGCCAATAACCACCCAACTATGCAGGTTATCTGCTTGCCGGCCCGCGTCTGTGTTCACTTCAACAGTGACCATGTTTTATGGTTGTACAACACCCACGAGCCAATAACCACCCAACTATGCAGGTTATCTGCTTGCCGGCCCGCGTCTGTGTTCACTTCAACAGTGACCATGTTTTATGGTTGTACAACACCCACGAGCCAATAACCACCTAACAATGCAGGTTATCTGCTTGCCGGCCCGCGTCTGTGTTCACTTCAACAGTGACCATGTTTTATGGTTGTACAACACCCACGAGCCAATAACCACCTAACAATGCAGGTTATCTGCTTGCCGGCCCGCGTCTGTGTTCACTTCAACAGTGACCATGTTTTATGGTTGTACAACACCCACGAGCCAATAACCACCCAACAATGCAGGTTATCTGCTTGCCGGCCCGCGTCTGTGTTCACTTCAACAGTGACCATGTTTTATGGTTGTACAACACCCACGAGCCAATAACCACCCAACAATGCAGGTTATCTGCTTGCCGGCCCGCGTCTGTGTTCACTTCAACAGTGACCATGTTTTATGGTTGTACAACACCCACGAGCCAATAACCACCTAACAATGCAGGTTATCTGCTTGCCGGCCCGCGTCTGTGTTCACTTCAACAGTGACCATGTTTTATGGTTGTACAACACCCACGAGCCAATAACCACCCAACAATGCAGGTTATCTGCTTGCCGGCCCGCGTCTGTGTTCACTTCAACAGTGACCATGTTTTATGGTTGTACAACACCCACGAGCCAATAACCACCCAACAATGCAGGTTATCTGCTTGCCGGCCCGCGTCTGTGTTCACTTCAACAGTGACCATGTTTTATGGTTGTACAACACCCACGAGCCAATAACCACCCAACAATGCAGGTTATCTGCTTGCCGGCCCGCGTCTGTGTTCACTTCAACAGTGACCATGTTTTATGGTTGTACAACACCCACGAGCCAATAACCACCCAACTATGCAGGTTATCTGCTTGCCGGCCCGCGTCTGTGTTCACTTCAACAGTGACCATGTTTTATGGTTGTACAACACCCACGAGCCAATAACCACCCAACTATGCAGGTTATCTGCTTGCCGGCCCGCGTCTGTGTTCACCTCAACAGTGACCATGTTTTATGGTTGTACAACACCCACGAGCCAATAACCACCCAACAATGCAGGTTATCTGCTTGCCGGCCCGCGTCTGTGTTCACTTCAACAGTGACCATGTTTTATGGTTGTACAACACCCACGAGCCAATAACCACCCAACAATGCAGGTTATCTGCTTGCCGGCCCGCGTCTGTGTTCACTTCAACAGTGACCATGTTTTATGGTTGTACAACACCCACGAGCCAATAACCACCTAACAATGCAGGTTATCTGCTTGCCGGCCCGCGTCTGTGTTCACTTCAACAGTGACCATGTTTTATGGTTGTACAACACCCACGAGCCAATAACCACCTAACAATGCAGGTTATCTGCTTGCCGGCCCGCGTCTGTGTTCACCTCAACAGTGACCATGTTTTATGGTTGTACAACACCCACGAGCCAATAACCACCCAACAATGCAGGTTATCTGCTTGCCGGCCCGCGTCTGTGTTCACTTCAACAGTGACCATGTTTTATGGTTGTACAACACCCACGAGCCAATAACCACCTAACAATGCAGGTTATCTGCTTGCCGGCCCGCGTCTGTGTTCACTTCAACAGTGACCATGTTTTATGGTTGTACAACACCCACGAGCCAATAACCACCTAACAATGCAGGTTATCTGCTTGCCGGCCCGCGTCTGTGTTCACTTCAACAGTGACCATGTTTTATGGTTGTACAACACCCACGAGCCAATAACCACCTAACAATGCAGGTTATCTGCTTGCCGGCCCGCGTCTGTGTTCACTTCAACAGTGACCATGTTTTATGGTTGTACAACACCCACGAGCCAATAACCACCTAACAATGCAGGTTATCTGCTTGCCGGCCCGCGTCTGTGTTCACTTCAACAGTGACCATGTTTTATGGTTGTACAACACCCACGAGCCAATAACCACCTAACAATGCAGGTTATCTGCTTGCCGGCCCGCGTCTGTGTTCACTTCAACAGTGACCATGTTTTATGGTTGTACAACACCCACGAGCCAATAACCACCTAACAATGCAGGTTATCTGCTTGCCGGCCCGCGTCTGTGTTCACCATTCGGGATCAGAGTCAAGGTCCCCCTGTTGTAAATCTAATGGTTATAATAATCAGTTTTAGAGGTCTCAAAATAAAAATGTTATAAATATATTTCAAGTGTTTAGGTGGCATTTGATAGGCTAATCAAGCAGTGTTTCTGGCGTTTCATGTTTTCATAATCATAAAAAACATTTAAGAGGCGATTAGCGGGATTGGATGATCAGGCTCGCATGTCATCGTATCTCAAATGCGTGGTATGATGCTCATGTTGTCAATCACTGGATTGTTTGGTCAATACATGATTATTTACAGACTGCCATCATATAGTTGAAATATTGCTGAGTGCGCTGTTAAACACCAAACAAACAAACAAACATACATGTTACTGAGATAGCCTCTGTCATTGGGAAACGGGTGTTGTCAGATAATATAAAATGCTATTTTTTAAATAATTTTCTGATTGCGTAAACAATGAAAATAAAAATAAATAGTTAGTTTATGTTATGAAATCTTTACAATTGGCGTCCGGTTGACTGGTGTTGAAAGAGTGAAGTAATTCATCCTTTAGTTTCCTGACCGATGTTCAGACCATACATGTAGACTGTGTCTGTCTCCTGTTGCGGGGGACCGCCTCCGTGGTCTAGTGGTAGAGCATTCGCCTGACTGGTGTTGAAAGAGTGAAGTATTTCATCCTTTAGTTTCCTGACCAATCTTCAGACCATACATGTAGACTGTGTGTGTCTCCTGTTGCGGGAGACCGCCTCCGTGGTCTAGTGGAAGAGCATCCGCCCAGAGAGTGGAAGGTCCGGGGTTCGATCCCCGGCCGCGTCATACCAAAAGACATTAAAAGATTGTACTTGGTGTTACCCTGTCTCGTGCTCGGAATTAAGGGGCTAAAACAAGGACTGGTAGGCTTGGAATCAGTATACTGTGTCTGAGTGGGGTATTCATGTTTAACTGCGGCATGGTATCTCAGTGGGCTAGCACTATAAATCGGCATCAGTCCGGACTAGTACAAGCAGCCACACACGTGCATGCACGTCGCTATATAAGAGCACTAATCTAAGACACGACGTTAAACCCAATTTCACCTCACCTCACCTCACCTCACCTCACCTCACCTCACCTCACCTCACCTCCTGTTGCAGGCAATAAACACTATAGTGAAGGAGACGGAGAATGTGGTGCTGCGGCTACGGCAGAACGCAGACACTCTGTCCACACGCACCCTCGACACTCTCAACTCTGTCATCAGTGAGAAGAAGGCTGTACGCAAACAGTACCTGGAGGAGAGGAACAGACTCGACTCTGACTTCAATAAGGTTAGATTTTATATAATATCCCTGGGATTTTATAAATACAACTTCTGTTAAGATTGTAATATGAATGTTTCTCGCTGCCAATTCATTTTGCAACAAATGTTATATTTGGGATACCGCATTCGACGTAATAAGCGCCCAAGGCGCTCTCAAAGTTAGAAATAGGGGCTCTTATTAGAATATTATTTTGGTGAACAAAAACAGAGTTGAAAGATAAATTTCTTGGTTTATGCTGATTTTTCCAGAATTTAATTGCCCATAATTAAGGGTGCATATAACACACGAGTGCGTATTATTTGCGAAAAAAAAGTCCATTGATCAATCGGAAAGGGTGCCAATTGGGATTGTTCACTAGCCAATATATTAGCAAATATTGCCGTGGGCACTTATTAGAGCTGGGTGCTTATTATGTCGAATACACAAAGTTAGCGATCTAACCCACTCAGCCACCGAGGCTTCCACAAAATCCGACAACTGGTAGTCATGTCCGCCATTGGAGGCGTGCCAATTTACACTTGTCAGAGGGGTACACAAAGTGCGTGATCTAGACTACCAGTTGCCCGACTTTCATTTTGTGGAAGTCTCGGTGGCTGAGTGGGTAAGTATGCTGACTTAGTGTGCTGGCGATTAGGTGCCTCACTCTGGCAGTGTGGGTTCAAATCCCAGACAGGACTCAACCCCAAAAAGTATGAGAATCTGTACTTTACAAAGAAAGTGTTATCCAAAATATACCCCAATTTGTAACATTTGACCACTTTCAAAATGGCATTGTGTGTTCACAATTTATTTTGCATTTGAATACAATGTAAAGAAATGTAAAATCAAATGACAAATGTTTTCATTATATTCCCGAGGATCGTACACGCATCTTAGTACACTGCTTTTAAGAACGTCTTCTTCTTCTCTGTCTGTTGCAGATGCAGGAGAACGTGCAGGGAAACAAGTCCGAATACATCCGCATGTCCGAGAAGTTGAAGCAGGAGCGAGCCAAGTACATGGACATACAGACGAAAGGTAGGCCCGACACTGGAGGCGAGTTCCGGAGCAGAACTAAAAGACCATGACAGATATCTTAATCAAACTTGGCACATAGGTCTAGTGGTGAATTGGTGCCTTTTGAAAGTTTTGGATTTTTTAAGAAATTATTAGACTGAAAATGGCGGTAGTACTCCTTTCCGGAGCAGCTCTTGAAAATCATACAATAATTCTTCACCAAACTTGTTACGTAGATAGGTCTAGTGGTAAACTAGTGCCTTTTGCTAGTTTGTGATTTTTAAATAATATGTTGTTTTATATAGCAATGACTTTGACTTAGACGGAAAATGACGGTAGTGTGCATTTCTGGAGGGCTAATACCTTGCACACAATCGGACATGTCATATTGGCGGGGGACATGCGATACCGGATGACTGTAATATTTATGTGGAGCATAGTTTAGGTGACCCTGACAGGGTCTGGCTGGATTACTGTGAAACATTCCATACCACCCTACTCACAACACAGCACCTCCTTCCACGGATCTGTGTCTGTCACCATACTGTTACTATGGTGATCTGTGTCTGTCACTGCGTGGCACCATACTGTTACCATGGTGATCTGTGTCCGTCACTGTGTGGCACCATACTGTTACTATGGTGATCTGTGTCTGTCACTGCGTGGCACCATACTGTTACCATGGTGATCTGTGTCCGTCACTGTGTGGCACCATACTGTTACTATGGTGATCTGTGTCTGTCACTGCGTGGCACCATACTGTTACTATGGTGATCTTTGTCTGTCACCGCATGGCACCATACTGTTACTATGGTGATCTGTGTCTGTCACTGCGTGGCACCATACTGTTACTATGGTGATCTGTGTTTGTCACTGCGTGGCACCATACTGTTACCATGGCAATCTGTGTCTGTCACTGCGTGCCACCATACTGTTACTATGGTGATCTGTGTCTGTCACTGCGTGCCACCATACTGTTACTATGGTGATCTGTGTCTGTCACCGCGTGGCACAATATTTTGTTACTATGGTGATCTGTGTCTGTCACCGCATGGCACCATACTGTTACTATGGTGATCTGTGTCTGTCACTGCGTGGCACCATACTGTTACTATGGTGATCCGTGTCTTTCACCGCGTGGCACCATACTGTTACTATGGTGATCTGCATCTGTCACTGCGTGGCACCATACTGTTACTATGGTGATCTGTGTCTGTCACCAGGTGGCACCATACTGTTACCATGGTGATCTGTGTCTGTCACTGCGTGGCACCATACTGTTACTATGGTGATCTGTGTCTGTCACCGCGTGGCACCCTACTGTTACTATGGTGATCTGTGTCACTGCATGGCACTATACTGTTACTATGGTGATCTGTGTCTGTCACCGCGTGGCCATATACTGTTACTATGGTGATCTGTGTCACTGCATGGCACCATACTGTTACTATGGTGATCTGTGTCTGCAGGTAAGATCGGCAGCAAGTTGGAGGACGCCCGGGCTCGGTACCACAAGACCACAGTGAAGCTGCACAAGCTGCATAATGACTACGTCGTGTCACTGAAGGACGCCACAGAGTTCCAGACCGGGTACCTCGGCACCACCCTCCCAGCCTTCCTGGACTCCCACCAGGCCGTGCAGGAGACTCTTCTCCATCAGAGGTCAGCAGCAGCAGCCGCACTCTTTAGTCTTGTAGTTAAAACATTGTCTTTCTACTCCTGTTCCTGGGTGTGTTAGTCTCGTAGTTAAAACATTGTCTTTCTACTGCTCCTGGGTGTGTTAGTCTCGTAGTTAAAACATTGTCTTTCTACTGCTGTTCCTGGGTGTGTTAGTCTCGTAGTTAAAACATTGTCTTTCTACTACTGTTCCTGGGTGTGTTAGTCTCGTAGTTAAAACATTGTCTTTCTACTGCTCCTGGGTGTGTTAGTCTCGTAGTTAAAACATTGTCTTTCTACTGCTCCTGGGTGTGTTTGTCTCGTAGTTAAAACATTGTCTTTCTACTCCTGTTCCTGGGGGTGCCAGCCTCGTGGTTGAAGAGTCACCTCTTCCATATATCCCTGGTTATGATTCTAAGTACCATTCCTCTGCTCATCGGTTTCACAAAAGTGACAAACGTCCAAGAACAGAATCAATCACCAACCCACCCACCACTCACCATCTCACCCATCAACTTACTTACTTACTCACTCATTCACTCAGACTCTCACTCACTCACTCACTCACTCTCCCACCCATTCACTCACTCACTCACGCACTCATTCACTCACTCATTTACCCAATCCCTCACTCATTTACCCAATCACTCACTTATTCACCCAATCACTCACTCACACTCACCCAATCACTCAATCACTCACACAATCACTCACTCACTCCAATCACTCAATCACTCACCCAATCACTCACTCACTCACTCACTCATTCACTCACTCACTCACTAACTCACTCAATCACTCACTCTTTCAACAGCCACCCAGCTACTCACTCACCCAATCACCTCAAAACTCACTCGCTCACTCACTCACCCATCAACTTACTCAATGAAGACACAACTATCTCACTCATGATGTCAATCACTGCATTGTCTGGTCTGGTCACTCACTCACTCACTCACTCACTCACTCACTGTTTCAGTAAGTTCATCCTTGAGGACTTTGTGAAGCTGACAAACCTGTCCAGCGAAGAATACCTGGCCATGCACCGCACGATGGAGGATACCGTCAACAAGATCGAACCGACCACGGAGTACACGCCAGGCTTTATCACCAAGTACAAGTGAGTAGCGAGTCATCCCATGGAGTGTGTTGGGCACAGGTAAAACAGGAGGACCTTCAGCCAGGCTTCATCACCAAGTACAAGTGAGTAGCGAGTCATCCCACCGAGTGTGTTGGGCACAGGTAAAACATGAGGACCTTCAGTCAGACTTCATCACCAAGTACAAGTGAGTAGCGAGTCATCCCACCGAGTGTGTTGGGCACAGGTAAAACATGAGGACCTTCAGTCAGACTTCATCACCAAGTACAAGTGAGTAGCGAGTCATCCCACAGAGTGTGTTGGGCACAGGTAAAACAGGAGGATCTTCAGTCAGACTTCATCACCAAGTACAAGTGAGTAGCGAGTCATCCCACCGAGTGTGTTGGGCACAGGTAAAACATGAGGCCCTTCAGTCAGACTTCATCACCAAGTACAAGTGAGTAGCGAGTCATCCCATGCAGTGTGTTGGGCACAGGTAAAACAGGAGGACCTTCAGTCAGACTTCATCACCAAGTACAAGTGAGTAGCGAGTCATCACGCCGAGTGTGTTGGGCACAGGTAAAACAGGAGGACCTTCAGTCATGGTTCCTGTGCCTGTCTTTGTAGGCATTTGTCTGGGCCTGGTTAGTGTTTGGTCTCAAGAGTGCCTCAGAGTTGCCGGGTTATCACCCTTGACCTGCCAGGATCCTAGTCATGCTACTGTGGTTATCTCCTGAGCCCTTATAGCTTGTTCCCCATGTGAGGTCGTGAAACCCTTGTTCCCCATGTTACAGGAGTGAGAAACCCTTGTTCCCCATGTTACAGGGGTGAGAAGTTGTGAAACCCTTGTTCCCCATGTTACAGGAGTGAGAAGTTGTGAAACCCTTGTTCCCCATGTAACAGGAGTGAGAAGTTGTGAAACCCTTGTTCCCCATGTTACAGGAGTGAAAAGTTGTGAAACCCTTGTTCCCCATGTTACAGGAGCGAGAAACCCTTGTTCTCCATGTTACAGGAGTGAGAAGTTGTGAAACCCTTGTACCCCATGTTACAGGAGTGAGAAGTAGTGAAACCCTTGTTCCCCATGTTACAGGAGTGAGAAGTAGTGAAACCCTTGTTCCCCATGTTACAGGAGTGAGAAGTAGTGAAACCCTTGTTCCCCATGTAACATGAGTGAGAAGTAGTGAAACCCTTGTTCCCCATGTTACAGGAGTGAGAAGTTGTGAAACCCTTGTTCCCCATGTTACAGGAGTGAGAAACCCTTGTTCCCCATGTTACAGGAGTGAGAAGTAGTGAAACCCTTGTTCCCCATGTTACCATGGTTACAGGAGTGAGAAGTACTGAAACCCTTGTTCCCCATGTTACAGGAGTGAGAAGTAGTGAAACCCTTGTTCCCCATGTTACAGGAGTGAGAAGTAGTGAAACCCTTGTTCCCCATGTTACAGGAGTGAGAAGTAGTGAAACCCTTGTTCCCCATGTTACAGGAGTGAGAAGTACTGGAACCGTTGTTCCCCATGTTACAGGAGTGAGAAGTAGTGAAACCCTTGTTCCCCATGTTACAGGAGTGAGAAGTTGTGAAACCCTTGTTCCCCATGTTACAGGAGTGAGAAGTAGTGAAACTCTTGTTCCCCATGTTACAGGAGTGAGAAGTTGTGAAACCGTTGTTCCCCATGTTACAGGAGCGAGAAACCCTTGTTCCCCATGTTACAGGAGTGAGAAGTAGTGAAACCCTTGTTTCCCATGTTACAGGAGTGAGAAGTTGTGAAACCGTTGTTCCCCATGTTACAGGAGCGAGAAACCGTTGTTCCCCATGTTACAGGAGTGAGAAGTAGTGAAACTCTTGTTCCCCATGTTACAGGAGTGAGAAGTTGTTGGCGGTGACGTTTGACTTTGATGACAAGCTGCTGGATGACTACAAGGGTGTCCTGAAACCTAGCAATCTGCAGCTGGACGACGCCACCTGTGAATCTCTACAGCACAAGTAAGTTGCTGACTCAGCAGGAATACAGTCAAGTCTCTTTAATCCGACACTCATTACTCCGACAATCGGCTTTATCTGATGCTTTGCGGTACCAGTTTCAAACTTGCGACATTCCAGACTATGCTTTTTAAAGTATTTTTAATCCGTAAAAGTTCTTAAGCTTTAGAGGTTACATGATTTTCATTTTTTATTACGTTTTGTATCATTTTCTATCATTTAGTTGTCAGATTTTCGTTCACAAACGTTGTGCTACTTAATTTCGTTTATCCGACATACTCGTAAATCCGACATAATCATATAAAACCAACCAATGGAGGGTGGTGTAAGATGGAGCAAGTTGCTGACTCAGCAGGAATACATGACCATATACACTGTGTTGGTGTTGGTACTCTCTGGGAAGGAGGGCTTGAGTAAGATGGTGTTGTGTAAGATGGAATTGTGTGTTGTGTAGGAAGTCGGAGTATGGGGATCAGTTGGCAGCCTCACAGTCGACAATGGACCAGAAGACGTCATTGCTGCAGGACGTAGCAGCAGAGGTGCATGGGCTGGAGGACAAGGTGGAGGAGGACCGCACCCTCGACACTATCACACAGTGAGTTACACACCCTTGACACTATCACACAGTGAGTCACACACCCTTGACACTATCACACTGTGAGTTACACACCCTTGACACTATCACACTGTGAGTTACACACCTTCGACACTATCACACAGTGAGTCACACACCCTCGACAGCATCACACAGTGAGTTACACATCCTCGACACTATCACACTGTGAGTTACACACCCTTGACACTATCACACTGTGAGTTACACACCCTTGACACTATCACACAGTGAGTTACACACCCTTGACACTATCACACTGTGAGTTACACACCCTTGACACTATCACACAGTGAGTCACACACCCTTGACACTATCACACTGTGAGTTACACACCCTTGACACTATCACACTGTGAGTTACACACCTTCGACACTATCACACAGTGAGTCACACACCCTCGACAGCATCACACAGTGAGTTACACATCCTCGACACTATCACACTGTGAGTTACACACCCTTGACACTATCACACTGTGAGTTACACACCCTTGACACTATCACACAGTGAGTTACACACCCTTGACACTATCACACTGTGAGTTACACACCCTTGACACTATCACACAGTGAGTTACACACCCTTGACACTATCACACTGTGAGTTACACACCCTTGACACTATCACACAGTGAGTCACACACCCTTGACACTATCACACAGTGAGTCACACACCCTTGACACTATCACACAGTGAGTCACACACCCTCTACACCATCACACAGTGAGTCACACACCCTTGACACTATCACACAGTGAGTCACACACCCTTGACACTATCACACAGTGAGTTACACACCCTTGACACTATCACACTGTGAGTTACACACCCTTGACACTATCACACAGTGAGTTACACACCCTTGACACTATCACACTGTGAGTTACACACCCTTGACACTATCACACAGTGAGTCACACACCCTTGACACTATCACACAGTGAGTCACACACCCTTGACACTATCACACAGTGAGTCACACACCCTCTACACCATCACACAGTGAGTCACACACCCTTGACACTATCACACAGTGAGTCACACACCCTTGACACTATCACACAGTGAGTTACACACCCTCTACACCATCACACAGTGAGTCACACACCCTTGACACTATCACACAGTGAGTCACACACCCTTGACACTATCACACAGTGAGTCACACACCCTCTACACCATCACACAGTGAGTCACACCCTCGACACCATCACACAGTGAGTCACACACCCTTGACACTATCACACAGTGAGTCACACACCCTTGACACTATCACACAGTGAGTCACACACCCTCTACACCATCACACAGTGAGTCACACCCTCGACACCATCACACAGTGAGTCACACACCCTTGACACTATCACACAGTGAGTTACACACCCTTGACACTATCACACAGTGAGTCACACACCCTTGACACTATCACACAGTGAGTCACACACCCTCTACACCATCACACAGTGAGTCACACACCCTTGACACTATCACACAGTGAGTCACACACCCTTGACACTATGACACAGTGAGTTACACATCCTCGACACTATCACACAGTGAGTCACACACCCTTGACACTATCACACAGTGAGTCACACAACCTTGACACTATTACAGAGTGAGTCACACACCCTCTACACCATCACACAGTGATTCACACCCTCGACACCATCACACAGTGAGTTACACACCCTTGACACTATCACAGTGAGTCACACCCTCTACACTATCACACAGTGAGTTACACACCCTCAACACCATCACACAGTGAGTTACACACCCTTGATACTATCACACAGTGAGTCACACCCTCTACACTATCACACAGTGAGTCACACCCTCAACACCATCACACAGTAAGTCACACACCCTCAACACCATCACACAGTGAGTCACATCCTCGACACTATCACACAGTGAGTCACACACCCTTGACACTATCACACAGTGAGTTACACCCTTGACACTGTCACACAGTGAGTCACACACCCTCGACACTATCACACAGTGAGTCACACACCCTCGACACTATCACACAGTGAGTCACACCCTCGACACCATCACACAGTGAGTTACACACCCTTGACACTATCACACAGTGAGTCACACACCCTTGACACTGTCACACAGTGAGTTACACACCCTCGACACTATCACACAGTGAGTTACACATCCTCTACACTGTCACACAGTGAGTTACACACCCTCGACACTATCACACAGTGAGTTACACATCCTCGACACTATCACACAGTGAGTCACACACCCTTGACACTGTCACACAGTGAGTTACACATCCTCGACACTATCACACAGTGAGTTACACCCTCGACACTATCACACAGTGAGTCACACACCCTTGACACCATCACACGATGAGTCACACACAGTGTAAACTCCTGCGAGTGATGACGCATGATGATGTGAGTCACACACAGAGTACACTCCTGTGAGTGATGACGCATGATGATGTGAGTCACACACAGTGTACACTCCTGCGAGTGATGACGCATGATGATGTGAGTCACACACAGTGTACACTCCTGCGAGTGATGACGCATGATGATGTGAGTCACACACAGTGTACGCTCCTGCGAGTGATGACGCATGATGATGTGTTGTAGGTACGTGGATAAACGGAAGCAGCAGGAGATTTTGAAGAAGGAGATTGCAGAGGAGAAGGTGCGGGTGGAGAGGTTGACGGAGATGCAGTCGTACATCGGGCGGGGTCTGGATGAGCTGGGAGACAACCCCCCTCCAGTGCTCACAGACTTGCAGGAGAACGGAGACCTGGTGAGTTGTGCCATTAAATAAACTAACCTCCATTCGCTGTGCCGAGTTGCGTCCCTTAGGCACGCCAGAAACCTATGATTGAGGGTTTGAATCCCGGTTCACACCGATTATGTTTCTAGGTTTGTCAGCATCATACCCATGCTCATGGGTTTCACCAAAGTGCTTAACGTCTGAGAACTGCATCACTTCGGGCTTTCCTCCCACATTAAGCTGACACGCAGCGATATAACTTGAATACTGTTAAAACGGCAGTAAACCCAACTCACTCACTCACTCACTCTCATCTGGTGGGTTCTGCTTGTTTATTCTGTTAATCCTGTTGACATGTTTCCTTTACACTGACCTTGACCCTTATCACTGACCTCGACCTTGCAGGAGACGTGTTCCAACACGTCCACATCCTCCACTGGGAAGAAGAAGAAGTTCTCCCTTCCCAACATTCCCGGACTGCGGAAGGCCAACCAGGGCCTCAAGTCTAGCCGGGATGATGTCGACAAGTCCAGCCGGGACGACCTCTTGGAGACAGGTCGGGGTGTCCGGGAGAGCTATGAGCAGACGGAGCCCGGCAGCTTCACTAATGGCCCCCGGGCCTCCATGAACGTGATGAGGGAGGCGGGACTCATGCAGGTGGGTGATGAGGGAGGCGGGACTCATGCAGGTGAGTGATGAGGGAGGCGGGGATTATGTAGGTGGGTGATGAGGGAGGCGGGGATTATGTAGGTGGGTGATGAGGGAGGCGGGGCTTAAGGAGGTGGGTGATGTGGGAGGCGGGACTCATGCAGGTGAGTGATGAGGGAGGCGGGGATTATGTAGGTGGGTGATGAGGGAGGCGGGGATTATGTAGGTGGGTGATGAGGGAGGCGGGGATTATGTAGGTGGGTGATGAGGGAGGCGGGACTCATGCAGGTGGGTGATGAGGGAGGCGGGGCTTATATAGGTGGGTGATGAGGGAGGCGGGGCTTATGTAGGTGGGTGATGAGGGAAGCAGGACTCGTGCAGGTGGGCGATGAGGGAGACAGGGCTTATGCAGGTGGGTGATGAGGTAGGTGGGACTCATGCAGGTGGGTGATGAGGGAGGCGGGGCTTATGCAGGTGGGTGATGAGGTAGGTGGGACTCATGCAGGTGGGTGATGAGGGAGACAGGGCTTATGCAGGTGGGTGATGAGTGAGGCGGGACTCATGCAGGTGGGTGATGAGGGAGGCGGGGCTTATGCAGGTGGGTGATGAGGGAGGCAGGACTCATGCAGGTGGGTGATGAGGGAGGCGGGGCTTAAGGAGGTGGATGATGAGGGAGGCAGGACTCGTGCAGGTGGGTGATGAGGGAGGCGGGGCTTAAGGAGGTGGGTGATGAGGTGGGTGATGAGGGAGGCAGGACTCGTGCAGGTGGGTGATGAGGGAGACGGGGCTTATATAGGTGGGTGATGAGGGAGGCGGGGCTTAAGGAGGTGGGTGATGAGGGAGGCTGGACTCATGCAGGTGGGTGATGAGGGAGGCGGGACTTAGGCAGATGGGTGATGAGGGAGGCAGGACTCATGCAGGTGGGTGATGAGGGAGGCAGGGCTTAAGGAGGTGGGTGATGAGGGAGGCAGGACTAAGCAGATGAATGTCTCCTTGAATATGATATTTCTACTGTATGCATTGCAGACTAACTGATGTTACTGACAATCTCATCCTCTTGTGTGCAGGGATATATAACTGCTGTTTGCATCGTAGACTTGCTGATGTTACTGACAATCTCATCCTCTTGTGTGCAGGACGTGGGGATCCCACAGCCAAAGTCGCGTCTAGAAGATGAGGAGTGGTTCCATGGAGTGCTGCCGCGGGAGGAGGTTCAGAGACTGCTGAATAATGACGGAGACTATCTTGTGCGCGAGAGTAAAAACAAACGAACAAATGAGACCCAATATGTGTTGTCTGTATACTGGTCTGGATATAAACACTTCATCATTCAGGGAGATGTAAGTATGTGTGTATTAATCAGGATATAAACACTTCATCATTCAGGCAGATGTAAGTATCTGTATTAATCAGGATATAAACACTTCATGATTCAGGGAGATGTAAGTATGTGTGTATTAATCAGGATATAAACACTTCATGATTCAGGGAGATGTAAGTATGTGTGTATTAATCAGGATATAAACACTTCATCATTGAGGGAGATGTAAGTATGTGTGTATTAATCAGGATATAAACACTTCATCATTGAGGGAGATGTAAGTATGTGTGTATTAATCAGGATATAAACACTTCATCAATCAGGGAGATGTAAGTATGTGTGTATTAATCAGGATATAAACACTTCATCATTCAGGGAGATGTAAGTATGTGTGTATTAATCAGGATATAAACACTTCATCATTGAGGGAGATGTAAGAATGTGTGTATTAATCAGGATATAAACACTTCATCATTCAGGGAGATGTAAGTCTCTGTGTATTAATCAGGATATAAACACTTCATCATTCAGGGAGATGTAAGTCTCTGTGTATTAATCAGGATATAAACACTTCATCATTGAGTGAGATGTAAGTATCTGTGTATTAATCAGGATATAAACACTTCATCATTGAGGGAGATGTAAGTATGTGTGTATTAATCAGGATATAAACACTTCATCATTGAGGGAAATGTAAGTATGTTTGTATTAATCAGGATATAAACACTTCATCATTCAGGGAGATGTAAGTATGTGTGTATTAATCAGGATATAAACACTTCATCATTCAGGGAGATGTAAGTATGTGTGTATTAATCAGGATATAAACACTTCATCATTGAGGGAGATGTAAGTATGTGTGTATTAATCAGGATATAAACACTTCATCATTCAGGGAGATGTAAGTATGTGTGTATTAATCAGGATATAAACACTTCATCATTCAGGGAGATGTAAGTATCTGTGTATTAATCAGGATATAAACACTTCATCAATCAGGGAGATGTAAGTATGTGTGTATTAATCAGGATATAAACACTTCATCAATCAGGGAGATGTAAGTATCTGTGTATTAATCAGGATATAAACACTTCATCATTCAGGGAGATGTAAGTATCTGTGTATTAATCAGGATATAAACACTTCATCATTCAGGGAGATGTAAGTATGTGTGTATTAATCAGGATATAAACACTTCATCATTCAGGGAGATGTAAGTATCTGTGTATTAATCAGGATATAAACACTTCATCATTCAGGGAGATGTAAGTCTCTGTGTATTAATCAGGATATAAACACTTCATTATTCAGGGAGATGTAAGTATGTGTGTATTAATCAGGATATAAACACTTCATCATTCAGGGAGATGTAAATATCTGTGTATTAATCAGGATATAAACACTTCATCATTCAGGGAGATGTAAGTATGTGTGTATTAATCAGGATATAAACACTTCATCGTTCAGGGAGATGTAAATATCTGTGTATTAATCAGGATATAAACACTTCATCGTTCAGGGAGATGTAAGTATGTGTGTATTAATCAGGATATAAACACTTCATCAATCAGGGAGATGTAAGTATCTGTGTATTAATCAGGATATAAACACTTCATCATTGAGGGAGATGTAAGTATGTGTGTATTAATCAGGATATAAACACTTCATCATTGAGGGAGATGTAAGTATGTGTGTATTAATCAGGATATAAACACTTCCTCGGTAAGGGAGATGTTGTTGTTAGATGTTGTTGTTGTTGCTGCTGGTGGAGATATTGCTGACTGGGATCCCCCTCCTGAGTGGTGTGGGCTGGGTTTCAGAACGGGGCGTGGAAGTTTGAGGGCATGTCGCACCCCACCATCCCAGAGCTGATCTTCCAGCAGCACTGCTCTGGCGAGCCAGTCACGACCAAGTCCCAGGCCATCCTGCAGACGCCCATCCTCCGCGAAGAGTGGGAGCTCATGAACGATGACATCTCACTCGAGATGAAGATTGGAAATGTGAGTCAAAAGAGGGTGTGCAAGTTGGATGACATTTTAGGTCAAGGTCTTTAGAGATCAAATTCAATAATATGCTTCAAATTTAAGAAATTTCAGATTAATTTATCAAATGTCTCCAAAGAATTAAGAAGGCCTACAATGATTATAATAATACCATAATTTCTAACTCCCTGACATACCATGGTATAACTGAGATACTGCTCAGTGTTGTTAAACTAACTCTGACATACCATGATATAACTGAGATACTGCTCAGTGTTGTTAAACTAACTCTGACATACCATGTTATAACTGAGATACTGCTCAGTGTTGTTATACTAACTCTGACATACCATGATATAACTGAGATACTGCTCAGTGTTGTTAAACTAACTCTGACATACCATGATATAACTGAGATACAGCTCAGTGTTGTTAAACTAACTCTGACATACCACGGTATAACTGAGATACAGCTCAGTGTTGTTAAACTAACTCTGACATACCATGGTATAACTGAGATACTGCTCAGTGTTGTTAAACTAACTCTGACATACCATGGTATAACTGAGATACTGCTCAGTGTTGTTAAACTAACTCTGACATACCATGTTATAACTGAGATACTGCTCAGTGTTGTTATACTAACTCTGACATACCATGATATAACTGAGATACTGCTCAGTGTTGTTAAACTAACTCTGACATACCATGTTATAACTGAGATACTGCTCAGTGTTGTTATACTAACTCTGACATACCATGATATAAGTGAGATACTGCTCAGTGTTGTTAAACTAACTCTGACATACCATGATATAACTGAGATACAGCTCAGTGTTGTTAAACTAACTCTGACATACCACGGTATAACTGAGATACAGCTCAGTGTTGTTAAACTAACTCTGACATACCATGGTATAACTGAGATACTGCTCAGTGTTGTTAAACTAACTCTGACATACCATGGTATAACTGAGATACTGCTCAGTGTTGTTAAACTAACTCTGACATACCATGTTATAACTGAGATACTGCTCAGTGTTGTTAAACTAACTCTGACATACCATGATATAACTGAGATACTGCTCAGTGTTGTTAAACTAACTCCCTGACATACCATGCTATAACTGAGATACTGCTCAGTGTTGTTAAACTAACTCTGACATACCATGCTATAACTGAGATACAGCTCAGTGTTGTTAAACTAACTCTGACATACCATGCTATAACTGAGATACTGCTCAGTGTTGTTAAACTAACTCTGACATACCATGGTATAACTGAGATACTGCTCAGTGTTGTTAAACTAACTCTGACATACCATGTTATAACTGAGATACTGCTCAGTGTTGTTATACTAACTCTGACATACCATGATATAACTGAGATACTGCTCAGTGTTGTTAAACTAACTCTGACATACCATGTTATAACTGAGATACAGCTCAGTGTTGTTATACTAACTCTGACATACCATGATATAACTGAGATACTGCTCAGTGTTGTTAAACTAACTCTGACATACCATGATATAACTGAGATACAGCTCAGTGTTGTTAAACTAACTCTGACATACCATGTTATAACTGAGATACTGCTCAGTGTTGTTAAACTAACTCTGACATACCATGATATAACTGAGATACTGCTCAGTGTTGTTAAACTAACTCCCTGACATACCATGCTATAACTGAGATACTGCTCAGTGTTGTTAAACTAACTCTGACATACCATGCTATAACTGAGATACTGCTCAGTGTTGTTAAACTAACTCTGACATACCATGGTATAACTGAGATACTGCTCAGTGTTGTTAAACTAACTCTGACATACCATGTTATAACTGAGATACTGCTCAGTGTTGTTATACTAACTCTGACATACCATGATATAACTGAGATACTGCTCAGTGTTGTTAAACTAACTCTGACATACCATGTTATAACTGAGATACTGCTCAGTGTTGTTATACTAACTCTGACATACCATGATATAAGTGAGATACTGCTCAGTGTTGTTAAACTAACTCTGACATACCATGATATAACTGAGATACAGCTCAGTGTTGTTAAACTAACTCTGACATACCACGGTATAACTGAGATACAGCTCAGTGTTGTTAAACTAACTCTGACATACCATGGTATAACTGAGATACTGCTCAGTGTTGTTAAACTAACTCTGACATACCATGGTATAACTGAGATACTGCTCAGTGTTGTTAAACTAACTCTGACATACCATGTTATAACTGAGATACTGCTCAGTGTTGTTAAACTAACTCTGACATACCATGGTATGACTGAGATACTGCTCAGTGTTGTTAAACTACCTCTGACATACCATGGTATGACTGAGATACAGCTCAGTGTTGTTAAACTAACTCTCTGACATACCATGGTATAACTGAGATACAGCTCAGTGTTGTTAAACTAACTCTGACATACCATGGTATGACTGAGATACAGCTCAGTGTTATTAAACTAACTGTCTGACATACCATGGTATAACTGAGATACAGCTCAGTGTTGTTAAACTAACTCTGACATACCATGGTATAACTGAGATACAGCTCAGTGTTGTTAAACTAACTCTGACATACCATGGTATGACTGAGATACAGCTCAGTGTTGTTAAACTAACTCTCTGACATACCATGGTATAACTGAGATACAGCTCAGTGTTGTTAAACTAACTCTGACATACCATGGTATAACTGAGATACAGCTCAGTGTTGTTAAACTACCTCTGACATACCATGGTATGACTGAGATACAGCTCAGTGTTGTTAAACTAACTCTCTGACATACCATGGTATAACTGAGATACAGCTCAGTGTTGTTAAACTACCTCTGACATACCATGGTATGACTGAGATACAGCTCAGTGTTGTTAAACTAACTCTCTGACATACCATGGTATAACTGAGATACAGCTCAGTGTTGTTAAACTAACTCTGACATACCATGGTATAACTGAGATACTGCTCAGTGTTGTTAAACTACCTCTGACATACCATGGTATAACTGAGATACTGCTCAGTGTTGTTAAACTGTTGTTATGTGCAGGGCAACTTCGGTGAGGTATACAAGGGCTTGTACACGCCCAAGAACCTGATCGTGGCGGTGAAGACGTGCAAGGACACGCTGTCAGAGGAGCAGAGGAAGAAGTTCCTGCAGGAGGGGAGAATACTGAAGCAGTATGACCACCCCAACATCGTCTGCTTCATTGGCATCGCAGCCCAGCGCCAGCCGGTCATGATCGTCATGGAGTTTGTGGCAGGTGAGTGATGAACCGCATGACTGTCGTCAGTCTGACAGTCGGGGTGGTGGGTTTTTGCTCATTTGTGACAGGTTCTATTCCTAAAAGGGTACAATGTGAAAAACCCTAATATTTTCCTTCCTTCTCTCCTTTCCCTTCTCTCCTTCCCTTTCTCCCCTTCCCTTCTCTCCTTTCCCTTCTCCCCTTCCCTTCTTCCTTTCCCTTCTCTCCTTTCCCTTCTCCCCTTCCCTTCTCTCCTTTCCCTTCTCTCCTTTCCCTTCTCCCCTTTCCCTTTCTCTCCTTCCCTTTCTCTCCTTCCCTTTCTCCCCTTCCCTTTCTCCCCTTCCCCTTCTCTCCTTTCCCTTCTCCCCTTCCCTTTCTCCCCTTCCCCTTCTCTCCTTCCCCTTCTCTCCTTCCCTTTCTCCCCTTCCCTTCTCCCCTTCCCTTTCTCTCCTTCCCCTTCTCTCCTTCCCCTTCTCTCCTTCCCTTTCTCCCCTTCCCTTTCTCCCCTTCCCTTTCTCCCCTTCCCCTTCTCTCCTTCCCCTTCTCTCCTTCCCTTTCTCCCCTTCCCTTCTCCCCTTCCCTTTCTCTCCTTCCCCTTCTCTCCTTCCCCTTCTCTCCTTCCCTTTCTCTCCTTCCCTTTCTCCCCTTCCCTTCTCCCCTTCCCTTTCTCTCCTTCCCCTTCTCTCCTTCCCCTTCTCTCCTTCCCTTTCTCCCCTTCCCTTTCTCCCCTTCCCCTTCTCTCCTTCCCTTTCTCCCCTTCCCTTTCTCCCCTTCCCTTTCTCCCCTTCCCTTTCTCTCCTTCCCCTTCTCTCCTTCCCCTTCTCTCCTTTCCCTTCTCCCCTTCCCTTTCTCCCCTTCCCCTTCTGTCCTTCCCCTTCTCTCCTTCCCTTTCTCCCCTTCCCTTCTCCCCTTCCCTTTCTCTCCTTCCCCTTCTCTCCTTCCCCTTCTCTCCTTCCCTTTCTCCCCTTCCCTTTCTCCCCTTCCCTTCTCCCCTTCCCTTTCTCCCCTTCCCCTTCTCTCCTTCCCCTTCTCTCCTTCCCTTTCTCCCCTTCCCTTCTCCCCTTCCCTTTCTCCCCTTCCCCTTCTCTCCTTTCCCTTCTCCCCTTCCCTTTCTCCCCTTCCCTTCTCTCCTTTCCCTTTCTCTCCTTCCCTTTCTCTCCTTCCCTTTCTCCCCTTCCCTTCTCTCCTTTCCCTTTCTCTCCTTCCCTTTCTCCCCTTCCCTTCTCTCCTTTCCCTTCTCCCCTTCCCTTTCTCCCCTTCCCTTCTCTCCTTCCCCTTCTCTCCTTCCCCTTCTCTCCTTTCCCTTCTCTCCTTCCCTTTCTCCCCTTCCCTTCTCTCCTTCCCCTTCTCTCCTTTCCCTTCTCTCCTTCCCCTTCTCTCCTTTCCCTTCTCTCCTTCCCCTTCTCTCCTTTCCCTTCTCCCCTTCCCTTTCTCCCCTTCCCTTTCTCCCCTTCCCTTCTCTCCTTTCCCTTCTCTCCTTCCCCTTCTCTCCTGTCCCTTCTCCCCTTCCCTTCTCTCCTTTCCCTTCTCCCCTTCCCTTCTTCCTTTCCCTTCTCCCCTTCCCTTCTTCCTTTCCCTTCTCCCCTTCCCTTCTTCCTTTCCCTTCTCTCCTTTCCCTTTCTCTCCTTCCCTTTCTCTCCTTCTCTTTCTCCCCTTCCCTTCTCTCCTTTCCCTTCTCCCCTTCCCTTCTCTCCTTCCCCTTCTCTCCTTTCCCTTCTCTCCTTCCCTTCTCTCCTTCCCTTTCTCTCCTTCCCTTTCTCCCCTTCCCTTCTCTCCTTTCCCTTCTCTCCTTCCCTGCTCTCCTTCCCCTTCTCTCCTTTCTTCCCTTCTCTCCTACCCCTTCTCTTCTTTCTTCCCTTCTCTCCTTTTTTCCTTTCTCCCCTTCCTCTTCTCTCCTTCCCCTTTTCTCCTTCCTTCCCCTTCTCTATCTCCCACTCCCTTCCTCACCCCCCAACCTCCCCAGTAACTTAACTTTTCTATCCCTTCCTCAAACCCGCCAACCCAGTAACCTCTCTTTCCCTTCCTCCCCCCCCCCCCCCCCCCAACTTCCCTGTAAAGCCTCCATGTTGTGTGTTGCAGGTGGGGCTCTGCTGGGGTTCCTACGGAAGCAGGGCAAGTCGCAGAACAAAGGTCAGCTGACGAGGATGTGCCTCGACTCTGCCAGCGGCATGGCCTACCTAGAGGCCCGCGGGTGTATACACAGGTCAGTGTCTACACTCACAGCAGCTCACAGCAGCTCACAGATCAGCAACCCATGTAAAGTGGTCAGGGGAAAGTCTGTGTGGTGTCAATGGCTGTTACAAGTCATGCCCTGTTACAAGTATGTGTCATGTCAATGGCTGTTACAAGTCTGTGTCATGTCAATGGCTGTTACAAGTCTGTGTCATGTCAATGGCTGTTACAAGTCTGTGTGGTGTCAATGGCTGTTACAAGTCTGTGTCATGTCAATGGCTGTTACAAGTCTGTGTCATGTCAATGGCTGTTACAAGTCTGTGTCATGTCAATGACTGTTACAAGTCTGTGTGATGTCAATGGCTGTTACAAGTCTGTGTGTTGTCAATGGCTGTTACAAGTCTGTGTCATGTCAATGGCTGTTACAAGTCTGTGTCATGTCAATGGCTGTTACAAGTCTGTGTCATGCCAATGGCTGTTACAAGTCTGTGTCGTGTCAATGGCTGTTACAAGTCTGTGTGATGTCAATGGCTGTTACAAGTCTGTGTGATGTCAATGGCTGTTACAAGTCTGTGTGATGTCAATGGCTGTTACAAGTCTGTGTCATGTCAATGGCTGTTACAAGTCTGTGTGATGTCAATGGCTGTTACAAGTCTGTGTGATGTCAATGGCTGTTACAAGTCTGTGTCATGTCAATGGCTGTTATAAGTCTGTGTCATGTCAATGGCTGTTACAAGTCTGTGTGATGTCAATGGCTGTTACAAGTCTGTGTCATGTCAATGGCTGTTACAAGTCTGTGTGATGTCAATGGCTGTTACAAGTCTGTGTCATGTCAATGGCTGTTGCAAGTCTGTGTGATGTCAATGGCTGTTACAAGTCTGTGTCATGTCAATGGCTGTTACAAGTCTGTGTCATGTCAATGGCTGTTACAAGTCTGTGTGATGTCAATGGCTGTTACAAGTCTGTGTCATGTCAATGGCTGTTACAAGTCTAGGTCATGTCAATGGCTGTTACAAGTCTGTGTGATGTCAATGGCTGTTACAAGTCTGTGTCATGTCAATGGCTGTTACAAGTCTGTGTGATGTCAATGGCTGTTACAAGTCTGTGTGATGTCAATGGCTGTTACAAGTCTGTGTCATGTCAATGGCTGTTACAAGTCTGTGTCATGTCAATGGCTGTTACAAGTCTGTGTGATGTCAATGGCTGTTACAAGTCTGTGTCATGTCAATGGCTGTTACAAGTCTGTGTCATGTCAATGACTGTTACAAGTCTGTGTCATGTCAATGGCTGTTACAAGTCTGTGTCGTGTCAATGGCTGTTACAAGTCTGTGTTGTGTCAATGGCTGTTACAAGTCTGTGTCATGTCAATGGCTGTTACAAGTCTGTGTCATGACAATGGCTGTTACAAGTCTGTGTCATGTCAATGGCTGTTACAAGTCTGTGTCATGACAATGGCTGTTACAAGTCTGTGTCATGACAATGGCTGTTACAAGTCTGTGTCATGTCAATGGCTGTTACAAGTCTGTGTGATGTCAATGGCTGTTACAAGTCTGTGTCATGACAATGGCTGTTACAAGTCTGTGTCATGTCAATGGCTGTTACAAGTCTGTGTGATGTCAATGGCTGTTACAAGTCTGTGTGATGTCAATGGCTGTTACAAGTCTGTGTCGTGTCAATGGCTGTTACAAGTCTGTGTCATGTCAATGGCTGTTACAAGTCTGTGTCATGACAATGGCTGTTACAAGTCTGTGTGTTGTCAATGGCTGTTACAAGTCTGTGTCATGTCAATGGCTGTTACAAGTCTGTGTGATGTCAATGGCTGTTACAAGTCTCTGTGTTGTCAATGGCTGTTACAAGTCTGTGTCATGTCAATGGCTGTTACAAGTCTGTGTCATGTCAATGGCTGTTACAAGTCTGTGTCATGTCAATGGCTGTTACAAGTCTGTGTCATGTCAATGGCTGTTACAAGTCTGTGTCATGTCAATGGCTGTTACAAGTCTGTGTCCTGTCAATGGATGTTACAAGTCTGTGTCATGTCAATGGCTGTTGCAAGTCTGTGTGATGTCAATGGCTGTTGCAAGTCTGTGTGATGTCAATGGCTGTTACAAGTCTGTGTCATGTCAATGGCTGTTACAAGTCTGTGTCATGTCAATGGCTGTTACAAGTCTGTGTCATGTCAATGACTGTTACAAGTCTGTGTGATGTCAATGGCTGTTACAAGTCTGTGTCATGTCAATGGCTGTTACAAGTCTGTGTCATGTCAATGGCTGTTACAAGTCTGTGTGATGTCAATGGCTGTTACAAGTCTGTGTCATGTCAATGGCTGTTACAAGTCTGTGTCATGTCAATGGCTGTTACAAGTCTGTGTCATGTCAATGGCTGTGGCAAGTCTGTGTCATGTCAATGGCTGTTACAAGTCTGTGTCATGTCAATGGCTGTTACAAGTCTGTGTCATGTCAATGGCTGTGGCAAGTCTGTGTGATGTCAATGGCTGTTGCAAGTCTGTGTGATGTCAATGGCTGTTACAAGTCTGTGTGTTGTCAATGGCTGTTACAAGTCTGTGTGATGTCAATGGCTGTTACAAGTCTGTGTGATGTCAATGGCTGTTACAAGTCTGTGTGATGTCAATGGCTGTTACAAGTCTGTGTGATGTCAATGGCTGTTACAAGTCTGTGTGATGTCAATGGCTGTTACAAGTCTGTGTGATGTGAATGGCTGTTACAAGTCTGTGTGATGTCAATGGCTGTTACAAGTCTGTGTGATGTCAATGGCTGTTACAAGTCTGTGTCATGTCAATGGCTGTTACAAGTCTGTGTCATGTCAATGGCTGTTGCAAGTCTGTGTGATGTCAATGGCTGTTACAAGTCTGTGTCATGTCAATGGCTGTTACAAGTCTGTGTGATGTCAATGGCTGTTACAAGTCTGTGTGATGTCAGTGGCTGTTACAAGTCTGTGTCATGTCAATGGCTGTTACAAGTCTATGTCATGTCAATGGCTGTTACAAGTCTGTGTCATGTCAATGGCTGTTACATGTCTGTGTCATGTCAATGGCTGTTACAAGTCTGTGTCATGTCAATGGCTGTTACATGTCTGTGTCATGTCAATGGCTGTTACAAGTCTGTGTCATGTCAATGGCTGTTACAAGTCTGTGTCATGACAATGGCTGTTACAAGTCTGTGTCATGTCAATGGCTGTTACAAGTCTGTGTCATGTCAATGGCTGTTACAAGTCTAGGTCATGTCAATGGCTGTTACCGCCTCCGTGGTCTTGTGGTAGAGCGTTCGCCCGGAGAGCGGAAGGTCCAGGGTTCGATCCCGGGTCGCGTCATACAAAAAGACGTTAAAAGATTGTACTTGTTGTTACCCTGTCTGGCGCTCGGCATTAAGGGGCTAAAACAAGGACTGGTCGGCTCGGAGTCAGTATACTGTGTCTGAGTGGGGTATTCATGTTAAACTGCGGCATGGTATCTCAGTGAGCTAGCACTATAAATCGGCATCAGTCCGGACTAGTACAAGCAGCCACACACACACATACACGTGCATGCACGTCGCTATATAAGTGCAATAATCTTGGACGCGACGTTAAACCCAATTTCACCTCACCTACAAGTCTGTGTGTTCTCACCTCAGGGATCTGGCGGCCCGGAACTGCCTCGTGGGTGACAACAACGTCGTGAAGATCTCCGACTTCGGGATGTCTCGGGAGGAGGAGGAGTACACAGTGTCCGAGGGCATGAAGCAGATCCCCATCAAGTGGACGGCGCCAGAGGCACTCAACTACGGTCAGTAGGCTGCCTCCTCATTGATACATGGGTTCACATTTATAATAGATCTCCCCTCAAAATGGTTTCACATTTATAATAGGTCTCACCTCAAAATGGTTTCACATTTATAAAATATCTCCTCTCAAAATGGTTTCACATTTATCAGGCATGTGAAATTTCCACGGAAACGCGGAAAATCGCGTTTTTTAAAACAGTAGTCCTCGGAAAAAATCGTCTTCCGCGTAAAAATATAATCAAACCGTCGCGGATTGTCCTATTTTCGATCAGAGCTTTCGGCAGCATAGGTTTTCGTACATCATACGTTTTCTATCACGAATACTTGCACTATAATGTAGGGTGTGGCGTCACACAGAAATTGTAAATACTCAGAGTCAGATGATAAAGTTGTATATTTTCACATTTATAATAGATCTCCCCTCAAAATGGTTTCACATTTATAAAATATCTCCTCTCAAAATGGTTTCACATTTATGATAAATCTCCCCTCAAAATGGTTTCACATTTAGTATAGATCTCGCCTTCAAAAGGGTTTCACATTTATTAATAGATTTCCCCCAAAAATTGTTTTACGTTGATGCATCCCCAAACAAAATGGTTTCACATTTATGATAGATCTCCCCGTCAAAATGGTTTCACATTTGTTATAGATCTCCCCGTCAAAATGGTTTCGCTTTTATATCTGTCCCCAACAAGATGGTTTTACATTTATACATCTCCCCAACAAGATGGTTTCACAATTATAAAGCTAAGGAAAGATTGAAGCTGTTTTCTTATCATGTGTTATACTCATCTAACATGAGATGTACACACAATATCACCATGGAAACGGCTTGGCAAGTTCTCCATGAAACAAGTTGATCCTTTGGGAATTCACGTTTCTCCTGTACAAGCCTACCAGAAATCTGTCATCTGTGTCTGTACCGAAATACAAACTCAGGTCATTCGGTGCTCGGTCCTTCCCTGATGGAGCTGCTTCACTGTGGGTCTCTCTTACCTGCAGCCTCCTAGTGCACCTGACCCGTGACACATCACCCCACGTCCTCCGTGACACATCACCCCTCGTCCTCCTTGACACATCACCCCACGTCCTCCGTGTCACATCACCCCACGTCCTCCGTGACACATCACCCCTCGTCCTCCTTGACACATCACCCCACGTCATCCGTGACACATCACCCCTCGTCCTCCGTGACACATCACCCCTCGTCCTCCTTGACACATCACCCCACGTCCTCCGTGACACATCACCCCACGTCCTCCGTGACACATCACCCCTCGTCCTCCTTGACACATCACCCCAGTCCTCCGAGAAGATCCGGGGTGGAATAGGTCGTCAGCAGCCCAGGCTTTACGTAAAAGGCAACTATGCTTGTCGTAAGAACCGACTCATGGGATCAGGCTCGCTGACTTGGTTGATGCATTTCATCGTATCCCAATTGTGTAGATCGATGCTCATGATGCCAATCACTAGACTGTCTTGTCCAGACTCGATTATTTACTGACCGCCGTCATATAGCTGGAATATCGTGTAGCTGGAATTTTGCTGAGTGTGGCGTTAAAGAACAAACAAACAATCATAGTGCACCTAGCATCACGGTGTTTAGTGCACCTAGCATCACAGTGTCTAGTGCACCTGGCATCACAGTGTTTAGTGCACCTAGCATCACAGTGTCTAGTGCACCTGGCATCACAGTGTTTAGTGCACCTAGCATCACAGTGTCTAGTGCACCTGGCATCACAGTGTTTAGTGCACCTAGCATCACAGTGTCTAGTGCACCTGGCATCACAGTGTTTAGTGCACCTAGCATCACAGTGTCTAGTGCACCTGGCATCACAGTGTTTAGTGCACCTGGCATCACAGTGTCTAGTGCACCTGGCATCACAGTGTTTAGTGCACCTGGTATCACAGTGTCTAGTTTACCTAGCATCACAGTGTTTAGTGCACCTGGCATCACAGTGTCTAGTGCACCTAGCATCACAGTGTCTAGTGCACCTGGCATCACAGTGTCTAGTTTACCTAGCATCACATTGTTTAGTGCACCTAGCATCACAGTGTCTAGTTTACCTAGCATCACAGTGTTTAGTGCACCTGGTATCACAGTGTCTAGTTTACCTAGCATCACAGTGTTTAGTGCACCTGGTATCACAGTGTCTAGTTTACCTAGCATCACAGTGTTTAGTGCACCTGGCATCACAGTGTCTAGTGCACCTAGCATCACAGTGTCTAGTGCACCTGGCATCACAGTGTCTAGTTTACCTAGCATCACATTGTTTAGTGCACCTAGCATCACAGTGTCTAGTTTACCTAGCATCACAGTGTTTAGTGCACCTGGTATCACAGTGTCTTGTTTACCTAGCATCACAGTGTTTAGTGCACCTGGTATCACAGTGTCTAGTTTACCTGGCATCACAGTGTCTAGTTTACCTAGCATCACATTGTTTAGTGCACCTGGTATCACATTGTTTAGTGCACCTGGCATCACAGTGTCTAGTTTACCTAGCATCACAGTGTTTAGTTCACCTAGCATCACAGTGTTTAGTGCACCTGGCATCACAGTGTCTAGTTAACCTGGCATCACAGTGTCTAGTTTACCTAGCATCACATTGTTTAGTGCACCTGGTATCACATTGTTTAGTGCACCTAGCTTCACAGTGTCTAGTGCACCTAGCATCACAGTGTTTAGTGCACCTGGTATCACAGTGTCTAGTTTACCTAGCATCACAGTGTTTAGTTCACCTAGCATCACAGTGTTTAGTTCACCTAGCATCACAGTGTCTAGTTTACCTAGCATCACAGTGTCTAGTTTACCTAGCATCACATTGTTTAGTGCACCTAGCATCACAGTGTCTAGTGCACCTGGAATCACAGTGTTTAGTGCACCTGGTATCACAGTGTCTAGTTTACCTAGCATCACAGTGTTTAGTGCACCTGGTATCACAGTGTCTAGTTTACCTAGCATCACAGTGTCTAGTTTACCTAGCATCACAGTGTTTAGTGCACCTGGCATCACAGTGTCTAGTGCACCTAGCATCACAGTGTCTAGTGCAACTGGCATCACAATGTTTAGTGCACCTAGTATCACAGTGTCTAGTTCACCTAGCATCACAGTGTTTAGTGCACCTGGCATCACAGTGTTTAGTGCACCTAGTATCACAGTGTCTAGTTCACCTAGCATCACAGTGTTTAGTGCACCTGGCATCACAGTGTTTAGTGCACCTAGTATCACAGTGTCTAGTTCACCTAGCATCACAGTGTTTAGTGCACCTGGCATCACAGTGTTTAGTGCACCTGGTATCACAGTGTCTAGTTTACCTAGCATCACAGTGTTTAGTGCACCTGGCATCACAGTGTCTAGTTAACCTGGCATCACAGTGTCTAGTTTACCTAGCATCACAGTGTTTAGTGCACCTGGCATCACAGTGTCTAGTTCACCTAGCATCACAGTGTTTAGTGCACCTGGCATCACAGTGTCTAGTTAACCTGGCATCACAGTGTCTAGTTTACCTAGCATCACAGTGTTTAGTGCACCTGGCATCACAGTGTCTAGTGCACCTAGCATCACAGTGTCTAGTGCACCTGGCATCACAGTGTCTAGTTTACCTAGTATCACAGTGTCTAGTGCACCTAGCATCACAGTGTCTAGTGCACCTAGCATCACAGTGTCTAGTGCACCTAGCATCACAGCGTCTAGTGCACCTGGCATCACAGTGTCTAGTGCACCTAGCATCACAGTGTCTAGTGCACCTGGAATCACAGTGTCTAGTGCACTTAGCATCACAGTGTTTAAGTCACAGAGGCCACAATCCCATAACAGGCAGCAAGCTCTCATGTTGCCATACACTGGTCGGGGAACAAATATGACCGCATTTGAGGAGATACTAGTACCAGGATACCACTCACTCTCGATGGTGGCATATCAAGTCTGTCCATTGTTGTCACTGTCCTCATGTGTGGCGTCTGTCTTCAGGTAAATACACAACAATCTGTGATGTGTGGAGCTACGGGATCCTGATGTGGGAGATCTTCTCCGGGGGAACCACACCCTACCCGGGGTGGACCAATGGACAGTCACGAGAGAAGATCGAGGATGGTGAGTATGTCGACCATAATATCATGTTTAGATGACACTAACCCACCACTAAGCCATCACTCACCCACCACTAACATGTCACTCTCCCACCACTAACCAACCACTCACCCACCTCTAACCCATCACTCTCCCACCACTAACCCATTACTAACCCATCACTCTCCCACCACTAACCCATCACTCTCCCACCACTAAGCCATCACTCTCCCACCACTAACCCATCACTCTTCCACCACTAACCCATCACTCTCCAACCAGTAAGCCATCACTCTCTCACCAGTAAGCCATCACTCTCCCACCACTAACCCAGCACTCTCCCACCACTAACCCATCACTCAACCACCACTAACCCATCCCTCTCCCACCACTCTCCCATCACTCTCCCACCACTTACCCATCTCTCACCCACCACTAACCCATCACTCTCCCACCACTAACCCGTCACTCTCCCACCACTAACATGTCACTCTCCCACCACTAACCCATCACTCTCCCACCACTGACCCATCACTCACCCACCAGTAACCCATCACTCTCCCACCACTTACCCATCACTCTCCCTCAACTAATCCATCACTCACCCACCAGTAACCCACCACTAACCATCACTCTCCCACCACTTACCCATCACTCTCCCTCCACTAATCCATCACTCTCCCACCACTAAACCATCACTCTTTGACCACTCTCCCATCACTGGCCCAGTACTAACATGTCACTCTCCCACCCCTAACCCATCACTCACCCACCACTAATCCATCACTCTCCCACCACTCTCCCATCACTCACCCACCACTAACATGTCACTCTCCCACCACTAACCCATCACTCTACCACCAGTAACCCACCACTAACCCATCACTCTCCCACCACTTACCCATCACTCTCCCTCCACTAATCCATCACTCTCCCACCACTAACCCATCACTCTCCCACCACTTACCCATCACTCTACCACCAGTAACCCACCACTAACCCATCACTCTCCCTCCACTAATCCATCACTCTCCCACCACTAAACCATCACTCTACCACCAGTAACCCACCACTAACCCATCACTCTCCCACCACTTACCCATCACTCTCCCTCCACTAATCCATCACTCTCCCACCACTAAACCATCACTCTCTGACCACTCTCCCACCACTAACCCATCACTCTCCCACCACTCTCCCACCACTAACATGTCACTCTCCCACCACTAACCCATCACTCTCCCACCACTCTCCCATCACTCACCCACCACTAACATGTCACTCTCCCACCACTAACCCACCACTCTCCCACCACTAACCCATCACTCACCCACCACTGACCCATCACTCACCCACCAGTAACCCACCACTAACCCATCACTCTCCTACCTTTTACCCATCACTCTCCCTCCACTAATCCATCACTCACCCACCACTAACCCATCACTCTACCACCAGTAACCCACCACTAACCCATCACTCTCCCACCACTTACCCATCACTCTCCCTCCACTAATCCATCACTCTCCCACCACTAAACCATCACTCTCTGACCACTCTCCCACCACTAACCCATCACTCTCCCACCACTCTCCCACCACTAACATGTCACTCTCCCACCACTAACCCATCACTCTCCCACCACTCTCCCATCACTCACCCACCACTTACATGTCACTCTCCCACCACTAACCCACCACTAACCCACCACTCTCCCACCACTAACCCATCACTCACCCACCACTCACCCACCACTAACCCATCACTCTCCCACCATTTACCCATCACTCTCCCTCCACTAATCCATCACTCACCCACCACTAACCCATCACTCTCCCACCACTCTCCCATCACTCACCCACCACTAACATGTCACTCGCCCACCACTAATCCATCACTCACCCACCACTAACATGTCACTCTCTCACCACAAACCCACCACTCTCCCACCACTAACCCATCACTCACCCACAACTAACATGTCACTCTCCCACCACTAACCCATCACTCTCCCACCAGTAACCCATCACTCTCCCACCACTCTCCCATCACTCTCCCATCACTCACCCACACAGGACCTAAACTCTCCCACCACTCACAAATAACTAGCCCATGCTACACCCATCACACGAACACAGGACCATCACTCTCCCACCACTCACTGACACAGGACCACCACTCTCCCACCACTCACTGACACAGGAACACCACTCTCCCATCACTCACCAACCACTACCCCATGCTACACCCATCACACTAACA